GAACTGATATTAAATGAATATAAAATAATAAATATGATTTATAGTACACTTATCTACATTAGAAAATGCTCAAGGTGTTTGAGATCTTATGTTTTTATAGTATAATGACAACTTTATTATCCAGTTAGAAAAAATAAACAGATAAGCAATAATAACATTAAATAACTAACATAGTAGAAGAAGATAATAACTGTAGTTATACAAATTATTGTTAAACAGCAATTTATAACAGTTTCAAAAAAATATGGTTATTAATTTATTGATTACCTAATTTCATTAATTAAGGTATGCATTGTTGTATATCTGTATATTCAATGAAGGCTGTCTATTTAATGAAGGCTATGTTCTTTTATTTATTAATAATCAATTCGCTATGTAATATTTAATATAATTAATGTATTTATATCCTGAGATCTGTCTATATTTTTTATTTCCAATATAATAATATATATTTGATAATAATAAACTATATATATTTTTATATAATTGTAAATACCACTTTTTTATAATCAGTTATTTCATTCAATTTATTGTAGGCTTATTTATATTTTTGATTGTATAGTGTTTTGCATGTTTTGTGTCTATTTTCTGTATGGTAGGGATGTTTTTATAGGTAAACTCAAGAAGTTTTCAACCTTTGTTGCTTTTTGAGTGTTTTATAACAAAAACATAAATAAAAGAATCAATGTTCCTAAATATTATTTTAAGTATTAATTATTCTCATAGTGTGCAAAAAAAAATTTGTTGTACACTGGCAATTGCAAATCATTATCGGTTGGGATTATCATTACCTTTATCATTTGTTACTACTGCCGTCAGCATCTCTGCCAGGACCGTCATCATCAACAAACAAGCCTGGACACATTTTTTTGTGCCAACTATAACAACTATTATATGATGCTGTGGCACCAAACATATATTGTACATTATCTTAATCTCTTTTCTGGTTGCCGTCTTGTAAATTCGCAGTGCCTTGGCCAATGGTTGTGTAGTGGGGCACTTTTTAAGTGCTTAACACCACCATCACAACCATCATCATTATCATCATGCATCATCATCATGGTCAGAACTACCACTACTATCCTCATCATTATCATTATGTTCACAAATACCAGTCATCATTATCATCGCCATCATCGTCTATGCGTATATGCATCTCATTCTTGGAATCCTTTTTCATATTTTATCTTAAAATCAGTTGACATTTCCTAGAGGAAATTGAAAACTTGATTGTTTATCCTCATTAAAATATTTTCAAGCGATTTAAAGCATGATATTAAAGTTACATGTTGGAATATTGTCATTGTAGTCATTTTTTTTTCCTTCCATCTTTTTTCTTTGTTTTCTTGACTTCAATATTGTCAAGCGCATAGAGACCTCATTTGTTTGCGCTATATAAATCCATCTATTATTATTATTATTATTATTATTATTATTATTACTGTATTATTATTATTATTATCATCAGTGTCATGATCACAAAGTATGAATAAATGTGTTATTAGCATACTTAATTCTTTTCTTCATGTCTAAGTTTGAGATTGATTATCAGAGAAAATGGATAAATTATCAAACTTCAAGAGGAATAAATTTTAATGTCAAAGTTCATAATGAGTCATTAAAAGGTCAAAGTTTATAAGTATGCTGTTAAATCTAAAGGTTATAGTCTTAATGATTCAATGGTCTTGACTCTTAGATAATATTGTAATTTAATTATTCAGTTGACTTTTGATAATTATTCCGCTAATTATCACTATGATTGTAAACTGGAGTAATGAAACATCCGAATGTTTATATGAGCGTCATATACAGAGATTTTCAAACCTGAGTATTGTAATTGAGTTAATAAAATGCCCTGTCCTCATCACAATTATGATCCTTTGTACCATTTACCGCTGTGCATCAGTCCAGAAGCTTACGTCAATCCAGAAAACTCACTCCGTGTTTGATAATACAATCTTTGTATGCAAGTGCCTCATCTGTCTATATTAAACACATACAGTGATGAGTCAGATTCGAAGACAGGATTAAAAGTGTAAATTGCCTGTATTATTATAACTAAATCTTTTTATCGAATAGTCTCCTGAAGGTGATGTAATATCTGTGTGAATGATGGTAAAAGGGTTAAAACTGTATACCAGTGTAGCATGATGTTGAGAGAAAGATGATTATGAAAAAAGATGAATATTTTCATTGAAATGGAATGTGGAGAAGCAAAAGGAATGTGGAGAAGTATGAGGATGGATTATTGAGAGAGAGAGAGAGAGGAAATATAGAGAAAATGAATGAGTGTGAAGAAAGAGTAAGAGGAATATAGGTAAGAGGAGACAGGATAAAGAGTAATAAAAATTAATTTGTCTGTTCCTATCACAAAGAACGACTGTATAAACCATAGAAGAAAAATTCATAAATTGTTTCCAGATCTTAGGAAGACTTGTATTAAGGAAAGGTGGCAAGAGAGTTGTGGAATATGGCAATCACTTATTACTTGCTACTGATGCATACACCTCAGGCAGTTAGCCAATCAATATGAGATGTTATTAAACTTTTAATTGGACCAATTTTAGCAATATAGCAAGATATTGACCCACAGAAAAGCAGAGAGCTTTTTACTTGTCAATGCTCATCCACATACCTTGCAGCATTTAACATTATATTTAAGTCTTGTGTAGTATTCAAATTATAGTATTTAATGATTGATACCTAACTTTTGTACCATTTATTTTTGTGTGATGATGTGTAAAGTAAGGCATGAATCTTAAATGGTTTATGATTGTTTTTAATAAAGTAATCATCATCATCTGTTTTTATGATGGATTATATATTAATGCTTTAGTTATCAAGCAATTACAAACTATTAGGAGACAATGAACTATATAATATGTCTAGCTATTAAATATATAACAAGTAAATTGCAATTTGAAATCCCAGTTTTCTCCAGCGAAACGTTATCCAGATTTTGCTTAGTTCTGTCGCTTGAGGTTCATATTTGGGGGCTTAATTTAATGTCATGTACGCTCTGCTATAAATGTAGGAGTTCAAAATTACTCATTAGTGATGAGATCATCAAAAGCCCAGTAGATTCAATATCTATAATCCTGAAGTGATGGCATCACCAACAAAAAATTTGTAAAGTGTATGCTACTTGCAGGGATTCTGTCATGTTTCAAACATGTACAGTTTTTGTTTGTTTCTCTACTGTTTTTACCACACACATATAAAATATAAGTTAATTAACAGTAAGTTGGACTTAGGAGAATTTCTTTTGTGTTATTTCCCCTTAACATCGTTTTTTTTTTTTATTGTTCTCTAATTTTTCCATTGTCTAAGTTCACCTTAAGGTAGGTTTTAGTAACATAATAATAGTGATAATAATAATAATAATAATATGACAAAATAAAAAAATAAAAAATAAAATTAAAAAATAAAATTAAATAAATAAATATATAAAAAAGACCTATATTTTTATATTAAATGATAGTAGGCAGAGATCTCACAATGTTTGGTATTGTTGATGGTACTAATGTTACTTACTAATGAATGGCAACACAACATCCATTGAATGACGATTGATATTTTTGCAGTTCATTCATATTGACAATTTATTCTTTCAATTTCAATTATGGTAATTACATTCATTGTAATGATGACAGTAAAGGTAATATTTACAATAAGGATGTATGGTTCTGATTGCCTTGGTTACAGCACATGTCGCTCATGTTCTTGTATTAAAAATGGAATATGCATTCATACTTTCATTATTGCATTTTGGTTGAGTCTAGTGGCTGAGTGGTAAGGCAGCCTTAACATTGGCACTGGTTGGAGCCACTCCTCACCCAAGGCTCGGTTGGTAGTACCAAATCTTCTCGAGTAAGGACTTAAAATGGAGGTCCAGTTTACACATCTGGCTTGTGTGTTCACTTTAAACAAACCAATGCATCTTTTGGAAGAGTAGGGGTTCCCCGATGTTTCATTTCAACCCCTGTTGTTAAATGATATGAACATGTATCTGTGTTTCTACTAGCCGCCTATTATAAGCACATCTTTAATGCAGCTAGGTATTCACGTACCACCTTGCTCATACACAATTCAGCACATTGACGCTACGAGTTACGGGTTATTCTCTCCAATCTTTACCCTTATTTTCAACAAAAAAATATAAAATTTAGTTCAGGTCTATAAAAAATTTTATATATCAAATTTATTTTTCTGATTATCAATGTGGTGCAGATTGAATTACAAAATTACTTGAAATTAGAATAGAAATAGAATAACATAGATCCAAAGACTTTCAACAAAACAACTATTTCAGTGATAAAAACATGCTAACTTAAGCATAGAATTAACAACAGGAAATTGATTGATAGATACAAACCTCGAACTGGTCATCTCTCGCAGGCTTTGAGCCCAAGACCAGCTTAACTGTTATACTTGAGGACTCTCATTAATGTAAGATAATGGATTAATTTGTAGCTGAAATTTCAATGGGAGATTGCTTAGATAGTTAAGCACAGATTTTGTCCTAGTTTGGTCTGTGTGTTTTCATTCTCAAGTCAATACTTTTTTACATGCTGAAGACCATTAAATTGTTTCTGGGAAGCATTGTCATTTATTGTCCCATAAAATGAATCAATTTTCAAATATAAGAGCTACCACTAGGTATTGTTTGTAAGTTCTTGGAAAATGTAGTCACATGATCTGTTACAAATTATTCAGGTCAAAGGTTAATTATATTATATTGAGATAAACAAAATGAGGTCCAAAGAAAGAAATTTGATTGAATGTCGAAATTTAATAAGATTACAGCATAGATGTGAACTTTCAACTAGATCTGTGAATGTGATTTTGTTTTGTGTACTTTTGCATGAAATTTCCTAATAATGTACTATACACTCATTTCTTATTAAAATGATGCCTGCTCTATTCCAAGAGTATGTGCACATCAAGCTGAATCCAAATCAGACATGCTGGAATTCCTTTTTATTATTTGATACTTGCAGGGAGTTCAACATCTTCACACTGACATCGAGATTGATGGAGCAGCGATGGAGAGTAACAACAACAGGGCTGCGTTATCGCATCCCCAACTGATGATACCTTCCTCAAGTAAGACCAATAATGGTGGCATTCTCACTAACACTTCCACAACAGATATGGTTCACACACCGGAAACGACAAATGAGTCTGATACTCACTCAAATACACTATCTTCCACGAACTGTTGCGAGTGGGATAGTGCAACACAGGTGAACCAATCGTCTCCGGCATTACGTAGCAACCGTAGTTTCCCTTACCTCAGGAGTGCTGTAGTTTCGTCTGCGCCAAGTTCACCAATAAATAAAGTGACCACTATTTCACACACATTGCTAGAACGCCAGCAGTCATCACCTACGAATATGATGCTTATGGAAGAGAAAAAAGGAAAAAGAAAAACCAGTATTTTTAAACGTTTCTCAGGGAAAAATAAAGATGAAGTAAGTGGGAAAGGATCAAAAGAAAAAGCCAGTAAAAAAGACAGCAAGGAAAAGAAAACAACAAACCATGCTGCAGTAAGTCTATGTTTTATATTCATATATTTGTAATTAAAGGTACTGTATATTGATTGCAGGAAAATCTAGAATAACTATAAAAAGATTTGACCAAAACATTGAGTTGCTCCTTTAAAAGCATATCCTATGAGACTTGAAACAAAACCGTTTTCACTTCATCACACACTTTATTAGAGAAAATTCTATAATGTTAATTACAGTAGAATACAATGTTAATTTGTGAGAAAAAAAATTGTTGGGAGACCACCCCAATTCCTCAGGTCCCAAAGGTGTTCTCATTTTGGAGGATGAACTGTAATAATATTAATGATAATAATGTTTATGATGTTGTGTATATACATAGAGAAATAGATTATCACACTCTAATGACCTCCTAGCCTTAAACAATACTATTCATTATTTACCATAATGATTGTTGAGAATGGAAGGAACCAGATACTTACAGCTGTAAAATTTACCAGAATTGAGAATTATGTTGAATTTCAGAACCAATTTTAGTCTGCTACTGTTCTGATATAGGTTTTCATTCCAGTTAATTACCATTGGATTTCAGAGTGGCAAATTGTTCTATGAATTATAAACAATCCACTTAAATGTAGGACAATTGCCATCGTCATTGCATCCCGCTTTGTGATGTCGTTAAAATGCTAAGGAGATAGTAAAAGTAGGATGTATTAATTGGGGATGATTGATACCATTCAATGCATTATATATTGCAAGAAATGCTGGATATGCATTATTTGTTAATTATAACATAACATTTTTGATGTTACAATCTGTATTCAGATACTTTTACATAGAAAAAGTTGGAATTTTTTTTTTTTTTTTTTTTTTTTTTTCCATTCT